TATATATATAAAACATTAAGTGATTTAAAAATAAATCACATTAATGCTTTTGAATAGCATTTTGTAACTTGAGGCAGTTTGCTAATTGTGCTCCGTTTAGGTTTTAGCCAGCTATTTGTTACATTTGGCTTTTAGCATAATGCTACTTATAGCTAGTATTTTTTCTACGTTTAGCTTCAACTAGTATACTGGCTTTTTTAGTTAGCAAGTTTAGGTTGTGAATGTATTTTGCTACTTTCACATAGTGTTTCACAAATTTTACGTTGTTGTTTTCTTGCTTCTTTGAGCAATCATTAGGTCATGTTTAGCTAGCAGTTTGCCACTTTACCTTTTAGCTATAATCTTGCTATGTAAAACTATTATTTTGCAACTTATTGTTAGTTTAGCTAGGATTTTGCCAATTTTGAATGGCAGTTTGCTATTTTTTCTTTTCTGTTTTATAGTACATTTGGCAGCTTTTAGCTTTTAACTAACATTTTGCTACACTTAGCTATTAGCTTTTCTTTCAGCTTCTTCAGCAATGTCCTTTAAATCTCAGCATCCATGTTGCATTTTTGCTGAAAATCTCTACTTTTACTTGTGCCTTGTTGAGATCTTTGTGTTTTTGTTGAATCTGTTCTGTGATTGAGACCCGTCTGTCTTCCTGTTCTTGGTTTCTTGAGAGAAGTCCCACCTTTATTTTGACACCGTAATGTCAGATGGATCAGTTCTGTCCCTGGAAAGCTTTTCCAGCCAGTGCTCCAAACCTTCCCTGCTGGTGTTTATTTCAGGCAAATCAAAGTCGTGTTAATAATAGACTCCTTCCTCCTCTTTAAAACACAGTTAAATATATTAATAGGGCACATGTTTTTGCCATTGTGCAGCGCTCTATGTGTGTGTTCCACATTTGGATGAGTATTTGCCAAAATCCCACAGTCAGTTAGCGCTGAATAATTGGCTAACGTGCTCCCAGTGAGTCAGCTGGGGTGAGATTTGTTTGTTATTCACTGTTGGAGCCGGCGTTCTGTTTATTGTGACTTTTCTTGCTTAAAATGGACTCTGAAGAGCGGTTATCTGAAGCAGGCCGCCTGCAGTGACAAAACTAATTAGTTTGGTCACATGACAAAGACACTGTAACTTCCAGCTCATCTGAATGTTTTAACGTTTTTTCTTTCTGGTGTATGGTTTTGTTCCTGACACAACGAGCTCTAACTGATTCATTCGTTCCCCTCCGGCTCAGGTTTTGCTCGTAACCTGTCTGAAGGAACAGATGCCAACTACACAGAGTACGTTGCCACGAGGTGGTACCGCTCACCTGAGCTGCTGCTGGGGTGAGTCTGTGTGCGAGAACAATTTATTCAGAGCAATGGAACGAAGAGGTTCTGTTGACTGGTCCCTGCAGAATATTTTAAAAGTTTCATCACAGTTTATTATTTTTTTAATTGCATAAAAGAAAAATAAATTCCAACATTTCTTCCTCGTAGTGTAACATTTAATGCTACAATCCATTTGCAATATTTGTCTGAATGATGATTCATAAAAAATAAACTTGTTTATTATTTTCCGTGTAGCTTTATTTACAATTCCCTTCACAACACATTGAGAGAAGTTCAATTCCTTCAAAAACACTTTTTCTGCTTCAGCTACTGGCTTTGCTTAAGCTACTTTTAGCTTTTAGGTAGATTTATGCTACAGTTAGCTATTAAAAATCATTTTTCTTTTTTGAGATTTTACCTTTCTTTGGTTTTAGCTTTGACATAACCATTTGCTACTTTTAGCTTTCTAACCTCTTGATACTTTTGGCTGGCCTTTAATTTTTAGCTACAAATTTGTTGCTTTAGCTTTTAACTACCCTTTTGCTATTTTAGTTTCCAGGTTTGTCTTTTTCTTTCAGCTGTTTCTATAAAGACACATGTTTGTATCTTTTAGCTATCCATTGATACCTTTAACTTCTAGCTAATCATTTAACAATTTTAGCCTTTTTTTTTAGCTACCACTTCACTACTGTTTTCATTCAACCTTTATTTAGATATGTTAATCCCATTGAGCCTCGAGGACTCATTTACAAGAGAGACCTGATTTCAACAAAGAATGATGACAACAATGGACAACAGTAGACAATCACAAAAGAGGCATACAGATTTATTTATTTTTTACTAATTAAAATAAGTTGGCAAAAAAATAGCAAAAACAGCTAGATTATAAGGCGAATGTAGAAAACTACAAACAGGAACATGTCTGCATTGGTCCTTGCCAGGAGTCCAACAGATTCTTACTGTACTTCAGCTTTAAGCAAGCTATTTGCAATTTTATTTTCTAGCAAACATTTTTAGACTTTTAGGTATTAAAAAACAGCAGTTTTGATATTTTGAGATTTCCGTTAGCTTTTTGTAATGTTAAGTTTAAGTTAGTCAATTGTTATTTTAAGCTTCATTATTTGATACTTTTAGCTAATTTTTTTTTTTTTTTTTTTGATTTTGGCCAAAGTTTTTCTAATTCAACTTTAAGCACGCCTTTTGAGTTTTCTTTCTGATGCTATTTTCATATGTTAAGATATATGTGCTGCTTTTATCTTGTGTGCTGCTACATTTAGCTTTCAGCTCCCCTTTTATTGTTTCAGCTTTAGGCTAGTGCTTTGCCTCTTTCAGTTTTTAGTGTTCTGCTTTTGGTGGCACAGTTGAGCAGTGGTGAGCTGCTGCCTCGCAACAAGAAGGCCGCAGGTTCGCCTCCTAGTTGTTCTGTGGGGTGTTTACATGTTCTCCCTGTGGGTTTTCTCTGGATACTCCGGTTTTTCCTCCCACAGACATAAACGCAGGTGTCCCCCACCTCCAGAGAAAATGGATGGATGTTTTGCCTTTCTTTAACTTTAACAGCTCAGTTTTAAGTTTTTCCAAAATATATTGGTCACTCAGCGTTTTTAGCATTCATGCATTTTAAAATAAAATGTAATTTCCTCTATAGATGCTCTTTTAATTCCCCCCAAATAAAAAATGTCAGCTTCAGTTCAATCATTTTTTACTTGGATTTATTAAAGATCAATCACTTCTGAGTCATCAAATATAAAATACTTGATTTTTATATAAAATAGCATTAAAGAAGCTTTAAATAGCCACTGTGCTAATGAGTGCAAACTGAGATAAAAGGTCTGAAACATCTCACGTCTTCTGAAAAGACTTAAAACTACAGATGACTTCTACAATAATTTATTGTGACTGAGCTGTGCAGCCACAGAGTTCAGTGTCCCGCTTCATCCCAGATTTATCTTAAAGCTCGAAACAGAAACTTCTTCTGATTAACTAAGAATTGTGTAAATGTTTTAACAATCAAACCTGAAGCTGAGGGCTTTTTAAAACTGGAATCCACAGAAAGATCTGGGTTCAGGAGGGAATCACTGGACTCATGAGTTCTGATAAAACAAACAATTGTTCCCATTTTGTTTAAACTGGAGATTTCTCTCTAGAATAAGTTTTCGTCCACTCATAAATAAATAAATAGAAAAGCAGCTTTTCTTGAAGGAATGTAGATCGCTGCTTTGCCTGACAACGTTTCAAACAAAAACATCTTTTGATTTATTAGAGTTTGGAGTATATGTTGGGAATGACTTTCAGCTACTACCACACCATAGTTTAATTCAATATCTGTTCAAATTATTAAATTATAGCATTTTTTTATGTTAGCTAAGGTAGCTTAGCTGTGGTGGCTATTTTAAACCAGTTTACTCAGATATAGTTTCACATCCATTGATTACTTTCTGAAAGGTTGCTTAAAATCTGTCCAGAGGTCCATGAGAAATTTTGCTAACAGGCAGATAAGCAATTTGATGGTTGCCCATCTTCAGTGGCAACAGGCAATAAAACTAAAACTGTTCGTTTTGTGACACATTTTCCAATAAAATGGAAATATTAATACAACTTATCTGCCAGATGTGTCAAAACGGAAAGATTATTTAATTATAAATTATTTGAGAAATACAAAAATCTGATAAAACCTCGTCCTTTGTGAAATGAATAAATAAAATCACTTCAGTCCTTTGATGATGTCCATACTTTTACCTTTATATTTGGTGTTAATCGGCTCATTCTGCAGTTTTTGCTCCGGAATTTAAATTATTTCCTCGTTGAGATTTTAGCTGCAACCGAAAATCAAACGTTTGGATTTAATTTCTCGCATTGCTTTCGTTGTTTTTGTTGCATAAAACGATCGGAGACAGCTGAGCGTCATTTAGCTTTGGTGCTGCAGCTTGATTTAGAAAACTGCCCTGGAACATTTACCAAGACGGCGTTTGCATGCCTCCCACTCAGATCCTCTCCCTCCAACACCAGCGCTCCTGAGCCTCTCTGCTGCCAGAACTCTCACCAGGATCCTTGGTTCTGTTCCCTCAGAAGGAACCATCTTTTTCTCCACAATCACTAAATTCACCTCTTTATTTCGGTCCGTGCTAACGTTTTTTTATTTTAATAAATCATTATTTTTCACTCCATCCTCCTCCTTTATTTTCACAAAAATTCATCTAAGGCTGTAGTCCACAATCCTGGTCCTGGAGGACCACCATCCTGCGTGTTTTAGTCGTTACGCTGCTCTTCAGCAGATCTTTAAGTTTTGCAAAAGTCTGTTAATCACTCAGTCATTCACATCAGATGTGTCAGAGCAGAAAAGTATCTCATGCAGGATAGTGGCCCTCCAGGACCAGGACTGGGCACCACTGATCTGAGAGCTTCATGTGATTTGCTGACATCCATCCATCTTCTTGACCTGGTCCCTTTTCTGGGTCACAGGGAGCTGGTGTCTGTCTCCAGCAGTTACTGTGGGAGAGGTGGGGGACACCCCATGGGAGGAAACTGGAGTACCCAGAAAAACCCTTGCATGCACATGGAGAACATTTAAATGTCACACACAAAGGCCAGGGATGGAACTTGCGACCTTCTCGCTGTGAGGAGACGGCTCTAACCACTTCGCTACCATGTCCCAGTTGCTGACATTTTTCATTAGTTTAATTTTTTTCCTGATAAAAGGTGTTTTGTGTCTCAGGGCTCCGTATGGAAAGGCCGTGGACATGTGGTCGGTAGGCTGCATCCTCGGGGAGCTGAGTGACGGACAGCCTCTGTTTCCAGGGGAAAGTGAAATTGATCAGGTTGGTAAAGCTTCAAAAAGTACCTGATCTGACAAAGATGAAGAGAAGGAAGAAATAATTCACAGTCTTGCTGTTTTCTGGGAGCTCTTTAGGCAATTCTGTTTGTTTATGTCTTTTTATCTTTTGGACTTAACGCATAGTTTTGTTCTGCAAATAGCACCTTTTTATTTAATGGGACCTTCTTATAAACATGCGTCAGTTCAATCACAACCTGATGGTAATGAGCATGTCCCATTGTTCCAGTGTTACTGATGAAATAGAGTTTCACATGCAGCAAAAAGCTGCAGAAAACTGTAAAAGATGCATCGCAGGGGGGAAAAAAAATGAAATGCGTAAATATCAACACAAAAGAAACAAATTTAAATAACAAACATGAAAAGCTTTTAAAACTGCTTAAAATACAGATTCTGACGTTATTAGATATTTGATAACAGACCGAGTTAACTCCAAATAACTAGTCAAAATTTTAAACTAAGATCTTGTGCAATTCAATTCAATTCCGTTTATTTCTATAGCACCAAGTCACAACAGAAGTCGTCTCAGGGCACTGAACAGAAACATTCATATATAAAATAATAATTTAACATTATTTATCTGAGGAGCAGACTGCTTTAAGTTTAACGCCATTGCAGAACTCTCATCTTGAGCAAGCATAAAGGCGACAGTGGAAAGGAAAAACTCCCTCATGAAGAAACCTTTAGCAGAACCAGGTTCAGGACAAGCGGACATCTGCTTCGTCCGGCTGAGTTTGAGAGGAACAGATACACAATGGCAGGTCAAGGATCACATGTTAAGATAGAAATAGCATCAAATGAAAACTTTTCAATTTTAACAATTCATTTAAGGAAATGAGGTCAATTTGTCCTCCAGTAGTCTAAGCTTAAGAAAGCATGACAAGCTGACCCTAACTATAGGATTTAACAAAAAGGAAAGTCTTGAGCCCAGTCTTAAAACTGGACAATGTGTCAGCCTCACGGACAGAAACTGGAAGTTGGTTCCATAAGAGTGGAGCCTGAGAACTGAAAGATCTTCCTCCCATTCTGCTTTTGGAAACTCTAGGAACCGCGAGTAAGCCTGCAGTCTGAGAGCGAAGTGCTCTGTTAGGAAAATATGGAACAATAAGATCGCAATCATAAGATGGAGCTAGGTTGTTGAGAGCTTTGTAGGTTAGAAGTAAGATTCAATTCTAGACTTGACAGGGAGCCAGTGGAGAGAAGCTTAAACTGGAGAGATATGATCTCTCCCACTAACTCCAGTTAAGACTCTGGCAGCAGCATTTTGGATCAACTGAATACTTTTTAAAGAAGTTTTTGGACACTATTGCACAATTTATTTAAGCTCAGTGTTTGTATTGGGGTTGATTCTCATGTAGCATGAAGAAGTTTTCTCCTGACCATGACTGTTGTGGAAAAATGGAGATTTCCAAACAGACCAAGGTGTAGTTCATCATATGTTTTCGGTTTTCAAGTCCCGTTTAAAAACCCACTACTATTCGGTAGCTTTCAACACCAGATGATCTGTGTTTTGATCCTGTATGCTCCACACTGGTTAGTCGTCATTATCTGCATCGTTTTTATGTCTATAGTTCTGATTTACTTCATTTTGTATATTACTTTGTGTTTTACCTGTTGTTCTGTCTGTACAGCACTTTGGTTGACCATGTCGCTGTTTTAAGTGCTCTATAAATAAAATGGTATGGTATGTTTTAAAACGCTTTAGAGAGCAGTCCAGCATTCACAGAACATTAAATGCACTTACAAGATCACACTCTTATCCAAGCTCTCACCGGAAAAGTTAGTTTTATAGAATAGCCTCCAGCCAGAATAAGTATTCACATTGCATTTTCACAGGAAATACAATTTCTCTAGTTGTCTGCTCAATTCCAGTTTAGAAAAACACTAATCTCCAAAACTACAAACATTCATTATTTAAATCCCTCAGAGACGAGGACATTGGAGTACAACTTGTTTTTTTTTATTTATTTGGTTTTATTGATCACGATGCTCTTTTCTGTGTTTGGGCTAATAATAGTTGATTCATGTTGTTTGTTTTGTGTTTTGCTGCTTTTCTCGTTGGTGTTTTATGTCGTCCTGCTTCTTAGCCAGGCCATCTTTTGTTAATGAGAACTGGTTCTCAATTGACCTCACTGGTAAAATAAATGAAAACAAACAAAACATATTAATAATAAAAAAAAAAAAAATACTTAGGTAAAGCCACTTTTTGTGTTGGCTACTGTTTATAGCTGTGGTGGCCATCTTGAATCATCTTGACTCCAGACGTTAATCAGTTGTAGATGCTCATCCACTGATCGTTTCCTGAAAGTTTCATAAAAATCTATAAAGTGGGTTCAACAGATATTTTGCTAACAGACAGACACACCAGCACACACAGACAAAAAAGTAAACAATGGTGCTTTTAATAAATAAAAATCCTTCCAACTAAAGTGCATTTTATTTGACTTGTTTCTAGTTAATGTTATAAACTCAATATATTAAAAATCAGTTGTCAGCTCTTCTCAAGGTGAATAAATTAATTTAAAAAAAAGTATTTTTTATTGTGTAACGAGTGCCATTAAAACGTTTAGCGCTCATTTCAGATTACTTCATACTAAACTAGTTTCTGTTTTTTTTATCTCCAGCTCTTCACCATCCAGAAGGTTCTGGGTCCACTTCCTGCAGAGCAGATGAAACTGTTCTACAACAACCCGCGGTTCCATGGAATCAGGGTAGGAGACCACACCTCCTCCTCTTCACCTTCATCTCTCTTCTTCCTCCGTTATGTCTCCTTCCACGTCGTTCTCCCGTGGCAGCGTTCCCAGAACCATGACTGAGTGGACCGCTATGAGTCATGAGAGGCAGTTCAGTTTAGCAGCAGGAGAAAATCTCCCAGAAGACCTTGCAGCATTTTTTTTTTGCGGTAGTGAGTTTGTGTGATATCTGAACTGAGACTTACTTTTTGTACGCCTGTCTAAGGTGAACGTGTCCTGGTACAGACTGTGTACGCCTGTAAACGTTCTCTTGTCTGACCTGTAACTTCTGATCAAGATCATTTAACAAAATTTCATACACTTATGCTTCATTACTAGATGGTGTGTTATGTAATATTTTCATCTCCTTAGCTTCAAGGTCAAGGTCACATATCAAGGTCACATTTAAAACAAGATCTTTGTTTTCCAGACCATAAACTCTGATCTGCTCAAGATAATTTAACAAAGCGTGATATGAATGTTTACCACCAGTACACAGCATGTTGTGTATTCTTTTATCACCCCAGCTTCAAGGTCAAGGTCAAAAATCAAGGTCAACTATAATACAAAGTCTTTGCTTACCTGGACCATAACTTCTGATCCACTCAAGATAATGTATTGAAACTTCTAATACGTACGCATCATCACTAGAGGCTTGCTGCATAATCTTCTCATTACTCCAGCTCTACGGTCAAGGTCACAAATCAAGGTCAAAGTTTATACAAGATCTTTGTCCAGGCTTATGTTATAGGCTATATGCTATAATTTTGTTCCACCTCATGCACCACATGTAATGTGAATGACAATAAAGAACTTTGACCTTGACCTTGATAGATTGCTGTATAATATCTTATTGACGGACGTTTCATGTCATAATCTTGTTTCCTGGTAAAACATCGGCTGCATGCAAGTAAAAAACAACAAAGATCAGGACGGGTGTTTGTTTGTGTCCCAGTTTCCTTCAGTCACTCACCCGCAGACATTGGAGCGGAGGTACCAAGGCATCATGAGCGGTCTGATGTTGGATTTAATGAAGGTAAGGCAAAGAAACGTGCAAACCTTCTACTTCAGTCTTTCCATTTATATATTTGTAAATGTTTGTAGCTGTATAATAAAGACAAGCGGTTAAATAACTCCCTGAAACGTCTCTTTGTGTTTTCCTCTCAGAATCTGTTGCTGCTGAACCCGACGGAGCGTTTTCTAACTGAGCAGAGTTTAAACCATCCCGTCTTTCAGCCTCTGAGGCAGGTGGAGCGAGAAAAATCTTCTCCTGCGTCTCCAAACCCGCCACGCTCCTCCAAGAGGAAAACCCACCACCACGGAGAGAACACGGTTCCCACGAGGTCTGACCACGTCAGGTTTTACTTTATTTCCAATAAATGACACAATATGTCACCGTTTGGAGAGTTTTGATTTGTCTTGCTGATTTTTTTCTTGTTTTTCAGTGTTTTCAGTTTTTGTATCAGTAGTTTCCTGTAAGTTGTTTCTGTTGACGTTTTCTGTTCGTCTGTGTTTTTGCTCCACGTTCCTGTCAGTGTTTCCCTCGGCTTTCCTGTTTGTCACGTTTACCTGCCACCCCACCTGTCCTCATACAGTCACCTGCTCAGTGGATCAAGGCTTCTTGTTCTGAAACACAACAAGAACAGGTCACCTTTGGTTTACCAGGCGTGTCCAGTCCTGTCCCTGAAGGGCCACCATCCTGCAGGTTTCAGATGTTTTTCTGATCCAACACACCTGATTTCAATCAATGTGTGATTAATGGGCTTCTGCAGAACATGAAGAGGTGATTGAACCATCGGATCAGGTGTGTTGGAGCAGGAAACAGGTGAAACATGCAGGATAGTGGCCCTCCAGGACCAGATTGGACACCTCTGGTCTAAATTAAATAAAGCCGTGACATTTTCACACATTTATTTATTTAACAAACACTCATAAATAAATCCTTCAAGTATTATTCAGTGTGTTTTTGGAGCCTTTTTTGTGTAAGATTCAGGTTTGAGGATAAGGATTAATTCATCGCCTCTCTCGGGTCCTCCAGGAGTCACAACAAGAGTTCGAGTCGTCGCTCCACCAGCAAAGAGTGCTCCAGCCTCCCTCGTCACGGCGACCTCCATCACCTCAGCAACGAGAGCTTCCTGAACGGCAACAAGCCGGCTCCGTCCAGTTTGAGCCCGACGCTCCACCCGAAGGGCCAGTACCTGTCGCAGACCCTGAACCGCTCTGCCTCCTCCAGCAAAGACCTGGCTAACAACAACCTGCCGCACCTCCTCAGTCCCAAAGAAGCGAAGAACAAGACGGAGTTTGATTTCAGTTTGGGACCGTCCACAAAGTTAACGGATCAGGGACACGGAGCGAAGTACAGCCTCAGTAAACCGAGCTCGTCTCGCTCTCAGCAGCAGCAGCAGCAGCAGCAGCAACAGGCCGGCCGACACAACTTCCTGGAAAATAAAACCAACACACTGCAGTCTGGAGGAGAGAAGCAACATGGCCGCCACACCCACAGCATGGCCGACTCCGCCCACGGGTCCATGTCCTCCTCTTCTAAAAGCTCGGCCTCTTATCTCAGCCTGTCCAAGAGCCACGGTGCTTTGAGCGACGCCAAATCTGTGGGAAACCTCAGCGACGGTCGACTTCATCCCGATGACCCCAATGCCAACCCGGCAGCTGTTCAAGGACCCGGAGCCCGGTTCTTCCCTGCCAGCTGTTTAGACCTCAATGCCCCTCAAGGACCTCCAGGACCCCCCGGCAGCCCCTCAACCAGACACAGCGATCGGTCCGGGCACAGCCCCGCCTCTCGAAGCAGTGGTAATGTCCGCATGGAGAGCAGCACGCTGGACTCCTCATCCAGACACAAATCCAGGCATAAATCTTTAGCCCCAGGTGAGTCCAGGAGGCTGTCCAGACTTGTTGCTACACGTCTGTTTCATGGTTCTGATGCTTCAGACATGGAGGCCATCTTGGATTGAGTTGACTCAGAAGTGAATCAGTTGTAGATTTAAATCTAAAGTTTGATTCAACTCTGTCCACTGATTCATGACACGTCAGAGTATGACCCTGCAGACTTTTAACTCTGCCTTCTTCTCCAGAAGATGCTGGCGCTCCAGAGCTTTTGGACCCAGGAGGACCGGCCATGTCCAGCACCCACACTCTGCCGTCTCCACACGAGTCGTATCACTACGGACTAGGCTACACCTCCCCCTTCTCCTCTCAGCAGCGACCTCAGCGGCACTCCATGTACGTGAGGAGGGAACGCCATCGACCGCACGCAGTGGAAGGCGGCATGGCGGGTTTGCCTCCACCGGGGCAGAACATCCCAACGAGAGCCAGCAGCCTGCAGCTCCTGTCCCCTCAGCTGCAGCACCGGACCACCCTGACCGGACACTCAGTCAGCTCCTCGAGGGAGGACTGCACCGACGACATGACGAGGGTCAGTTACGCTCATCCTGAGAGTTCGAACACAAGCGTTTGTCTTAAAAACGCTGAAACTGGCTTTGTCAGCACAAAGATTCATAATTTCAGCTGGTGCTTCCTTTCGTCCATCAGATGATTCAGTAGATGTTCCCGTCTCCGTGGTAACAACACCACTGTGACGTGAACTCAGTAGGAAAGTTTTCATTCTGTTTGAACTTCTTTTCCACATTTTATTGCATTTTAATCACAAACTTCAAACTTTTTACAAGGGTTTAAAACCAACATAGAGTAGTACAGAATTATGACGTGGAAGAAAAATGAGTTTTTCCAATTCTTTACAAATAAAAGTCTGAGAAATGTGAGTCAATATTTTGTAAAACAACCTTTTACTGCACGTCCAGCTGCAGGGTTTTTTTTTTTTTCCTCTATCAGCTTTGTCCATCTGGAGCCTGAATTTTGTCCCATTCTTCTTTGTCAAACAGCTCAGTCAGGCCGGATGGAGTCTCTGTGAACAGCAGTTTTTAAGATTTATTAAAGGTTTTCAGTAAGATTCAGGATCTGGACTTAGTTTGATCTGACCCATTCCACTGTAGATCTGTCTGCTTTTGAGTTTTTGTTCTGCTAGAACGTGAACCTTTGGGATTATCCTGTATTTATCTCCCATCGTTAACTCTAACCAGCTTCTCCACAGCATGATGCTGCCCCCACCGTGCTTCACAGTGAGTGACGTGCAGCGTTGGATTTCTTATTGTCCCATGAACAGATTGTCCTGAGCTGTGATCTCCTTCAGAGTTACAGTGGAGCATCTTGGCTTCTCCAGATAAGACGTGGGGAACATATGGGCCGAGGCCAAAAGTGACCCTTGGACTATCTCCATCCGGCCTGATATACTTAATCGAAACTGAAGCAACTTTAAAATAAGTTGATAGAAATCATCATTTGATGGATGGAATTTAGGAAATCTAAAGTAAATATTTTGGACAAATTCATAAAAAACATTTGGATTAAGATCAGCTACAACATTTTCAAAGTTGTGGTTCCAGAACTATACTAAAACTTAAAGACTCCAAAAAGCTAATGTATATCTTATTTTTTCATATTCAACAAATATATTGTCACAAGAGCCAGTTTACAGAATATTCTCAGAGTACTGGGGAGACATGTTATAAAGCATAAATCTTCCAGATTATCTGTCTTAAAGAAAATGTATTTTCCAACTCTCTCTGCAGCCCATCAGTCCCTATAAATATCTTCATTTGGCCCTCTGGGAAAAATCCCCCCCCCCCCCCTCCCCGCGCCTTAGATCAGTGTCAGTTTAGATGGACGGCCATGTTTGTCATTTCACAGTGTTGTGGTGGAAAAAGCACTATGAACCTGACTTGGGGTCAGTAGGGATCAAAGAACATTTTAATATCATTCACAATAACAGTAGCAGTGAAAATTATGGAGCATGGTGGGTGCAAATTATGCACATTCCCTTGACAACAGTTGTTCTCTGTGAGATGTCCAAAGCCTGGGATGTTGTTTTAAAACCCAATCCTGCTTCACATTTCTCAAAAACTTTCTCCCTGACTAGTCTGCTATGTTCCTTGGTCTTCATGATGTCCTGTAACAAACCCCTGAGGCTCACAGAACATCTGGATTTATTCTGAGATTGAATTGTACACAGGTTGCCTCTGTTTACTGATTATCTGAAGGTGGCTTGGTGTCTCAGAATATTTTTTAAAAAATGCCACACTTTCCAGATTTTTATTTGTAAAACATTTTAAGAACCAGGAGTTATTTTCCTTCCACTTCATGCACCACTTTGCGTTGTTCTGTCCCATAAAATCCCAGTAAAATGCTTTGACACAAACGTCAAAGTATTTTTATTGTAGCCTGACAAAATGTGGAAAAGTTCAAGGAACACAAACAGAGAAGCCTTTAAAAGTTAAAAAAGTCTGTTTATCTTTCCAAGTACTGTGATAAATCTGGTCTTTGGTACATTTTACTGCAAAAGATTTGAATCGAAACTAGATAACCGCTTTCTTAAAGAGTTCAACGTGTTAACAAATCCTTCACATCACCTTATGAAGGTGTAAATATGGCACAGCTGGAGCGTGTTTGGTTTTTAAAACAGTTTCAAACACGTGTTTACAGGTGAAGTGCACACCTGCAGAACCTCTAACAGATGTGGCAGGTTGACGAGAAGAACTTTCCTTTAACTCAGCTCACTGACGTGAAATGTTGGTTTTCTTTGTAAGGGTGATTTTGTGTGCTCTAAAACTGAGCGAGTGTGTGTGTGTGTTTCACGGGTTGATGTGTGTGTGTTGGGTCCCTGTCTCGTTGTCATTGCCTCTGCATCATTGCTGCTTCTCCAGTCTGCTTTGACCTGCGCCTGTCCGTCTCCCCAACAGAGTGAGCAGCCCCCTAAAGACATGAGCCACCCCTGCCCCATCAAAGACTCTACGAGGGACAACCCAGCTGCTTTTCATACGCAGCGCTCTAAAAACGAGGTCCGACCCGCTGGTTCCTCCCTACCTCCAACTCCACCCAGCACGCAGGGCAGCTCTTCTCTAACTGCTGGTTTCTGTAGCACTTTCCTGTTTCTAGTCAGGCCAAAGCTTCACTGCATGTTGTCGCTGGTATAAATGTAACCTGAGTGTCTCGTGTTGACGCAAAGACAAGTGGGATTATCAGACACAAAGATACTGAGGAACCTCCTGCCTCGGTGTGTTTACTCATCAGCATGGTGTGCACCTTTCAGGTTGGTATGTATCACGACCCCCACGGTGACGATGGAGGATCCGCCAAAGAGAACCGCATGATCTTCACCGAGTCCATGCCTCGACGAGTCGGCAGTTTCTACAGAGGTGAGGGGCAAGAAACACCAAATCAAAGCACGCTTACAAAGATAAGTGATGTCACTGAGCTCTGTGAAAAGCAAAGACTGATGATTTTACCTGTGAGAGTTCACAGCCGTCAGCAGCATCTTCACTGTGAACTGAACATCATCTGTGTTCATCCAGAGAATATGATGGGACAAAACGCTGCTCAGACTCTTAGTCTTTGACTGACAGCTCATTATAGCTGCACCACAGGTCCAAAAACAACCAGATTTAATCCCAAACTTGTCACAATTTGGACTCAGGAATTCTGACTCGAGGAGCTGAAAAATAAACCTAAACTTTACAAAACAAGCTGACAGCAGAACTCACGAAACTGAGGGCAGGCACAGAGAAACAGAGCGAGGCGTTTATAATCCCTGGTGACAGAAGTGAAGCCGAGGAACTAAAGGAACTGAGGCTGATGAGAGAAGTGACTGCAGCTGTGACAGGTGAAACAGGAAGCAGGTGCAGATGGGCGGGGCAGGGTGGCAGAAACCAAGTGAGGAGAAGTGACCAAACCACAGAAAACAAAACATAAACACAAAAGATCCCAAACAAAACCTACAGATCCTGAAAAATCGTCTGATTTCCAGGTGACTGATCCTCCAAGAAAAGTAAAGGATGTTGTTGTTTTGTAAAACGATAGAAAATCATCTTAAAACAGATTTCCCCATCAAACACAACTCTTTAAAACGTGTAGAAACATCATTTGAGTCATGTTCTCTCCTCCGTTTCTCTTCAGTCCCCTCCCCCAGACCGGATAACTCCTCTTCTTTCCACGAAGGTGTTGGTCCAGGTCGAGGACCGGTGGGACCCGTTGTAGCCGGGGACCCGGGTGGCGTGGGGAGTCACTCCAAACGCCAGACGGCTTTCGACTGGTGAGAATTATCAATACGTTGTGTTTGGGTGATGCCACTTCAGCTGAGTTTTAACTCTTCTATCTACAGTTTTCAAAAATATTTGACACTTAAGAACACGGCCATGTTATTTATTTAAATTAATTTAGTTCAACACATCTGATGACTACTTCCTGTATGTTTCTCCAAAGTCTGTCCAGTGTTTCATTTTAATAATATTAATAACATTTGCATTGACCATGATTACTCTTTGTTTTTACAATGAACAAGTTTTTGGCATAAAGTCCAAAACCCACCATTTATTCGTATTACATATCCAGTGAAATATGGTAGAGATAACAAATAAATATGTTATGTGGCAAACACTGAAGAGTAACACACACTGGTTTTGAAAACAATTTTTGTGTCAGATTCAAGCTGTTTTAGTGGCAGCTTTGGAAACAGCCCTTTCACTTCCATGTGTGGATGTGACGTCACAGACCTAATTATGCGAGACCGCAAAGATGGGCAGTCTCATGGAGAAAACACCCCCACCTCCTTTCTGACTGAGGCCCAAAGTCATTATAGAAAGAAGAACAAGACGCAAAAGTTGAAGGAAGTTTGGCAGCGATAGAGAAACAGTGAGAGCGGGAATGATTGATGAGATTACAGAGATTTGTGATAGCAAGTTTGGATTTTATAGTTAGGCTGTAGTGTGGTGTGTTTGGTGTTTAATTTAGTCAGTTTTAGTGTGTCTGAGTCAAAACAATGAGGGGATGTCTGAACGTGAAGATGCAGCTTCTGTTTGAGGTGAGGGATGGAGCCGAGGAGCCAGAACCTCTCGGACAGAAGAGGTAGAGCTGAAAAAAAAAAAAATGTCTGAGACAAAAGAGTGAGGACTTTGACGAGGAAGTGGGAGTTCCATTATTTGTTTTAGAAGAGGAAAGAGAAGAAGAATGCACTGAGCACCACATCCCTGCCTGTGAATAAAAACTCCTGCCTGTGAATACACACAGCGGACTGTGAATGCACACTCCTGCCTGTGAATACACACTCTTGCCTGTGAATACACACAGTGGACTGTGAATACACACTCCTGCCTGTGAATACACACTCCTGCCTGTGAATACACACAGCGGACTGTGAATACACACTCCTGCCTGTGAATACACACTCTTGCCTGTGAATACACACCCCTGCCTGTGAATACACACAGCGACCTGTGAATTCACACTCCTGCCTTTGAATACACGCAGCAACCTGTGAATACACACTCCTGCCTGTGAATACACACTCCTGCCTGTGAATACACACTCCTGCCTGTGAATACACACTCCTGCCTGTGAATACACAAAGCAGCCTGTGAATACACACTCATGCCTGTGAATACACACTCCTGCTTGTGAATACGCACTCCTGCCTGTGAATACACACAGCAGACTGTGAATACATACTCCTGCCTGTGAATACATACTCCTGCCTGTGAATACACACTCGTGCCTGTGAGTACACACTCCTGCCTGTGAATACACACAGTGGCCTGTGAATACACACTCCTGCCTGTGAATACACACTCCTGTCTGTGAATACACACTCCTGCCTATGAATAGACACTTCTGCCTATGAATACACACTCCTGCCTGTGATACATACGCTTGCCTGTGAATACACACAGCGGCCTGTGAATACACACTAATGCCTGTGAAAACACACAGCGGCCTGTGAATACACACTCCTGCCTGTGAATACCATTCCTGCCTGTGAATACACACAGCGGCCTGTGAATACACACTCCAGCCTGTGAATACCATTCTTGCCTGTGAATACACTCTCCTGCCTGTTCCTGATCCCTGGCCCGATGTCATCAGCCTTCAGTAATCATCGTCCATGTGCTTGGGTGTTTCCGTCACTGTTTTATTTATTAAAAGATTTTTTTAGCACGTGCGTGGCCTGAAAACATATAACCATCATATTCTATGACAAAGATCATCTCTTAAGAGCACCTGAGATTATAATCATGGCTGTTGGACTGTAAAAAAAATACAACATACAACTTACATTACATTTTCAGCCCTTCAGTTTTATTTCAGGAAGGTTTTTTTTTTCCTGACTGTGTATTTGCAGTGTGTCACCTTACATATTTATGCTATACCCACAAGCCTTTAAAAAAAATCAATTTACCCATGATCTTGTACAAACGTGAAATTTTTGCACATGTTCTTCAGGACGGCTGCAGAGGCAATGGTCATGAATCCTCCGGAGCCGACCAAAGAGAAGGAAAAACAAGGCTTCTTCAGGTCTATTAAAAAGAAAAAGAAGAAGACACAAATAGTAAGATTTTTTAATGATCATCTATTCATCCAGGAAATGATACCATACCATACCATTTTATTTATAGAGCACTTAAAACAGCTACAAGGCCAACCAAAGTGCTGTACAGACAGAACAATAGTCAACACACGAAGCAATATACAAAATGAAGTAAATCAAAAATATAGACATAAAAACGATGCAGATAATAAATATGATGACAAACCAGTGTGGAGTGTACAGGTTCAAAACACAGATCCTCTGGTGTTGAAAGCTACTGAATAGTAGTGTTTTTAAACAGGATTTAAAAACCGAAAGGGAGGGGACCAGTCTGACAAGCAGAGGTAACTCGTTCCAAAGTCTTAGTCCTGCTACAGAGAAGGCCCTGTCACCTCTGCACTTAAGACGAGTTCCTGGAACTGTGAGAAGCAACTGGTCCGCTGACCACAGGGAACGTGGTGGGACATACGGTTGTATCAGATCAGAGAGATGGGGGGGCGAAACTGTTCAGCGATTTGTAGACATACAGGAGTATTTTGAACTGGATTCTAAGGTGAACCGGTAACCAGTGCAGTGAGGCCAAAACTGATGTAATGTGCTCTCTTTTGCCTGTACTGGTTAAAAATTGGGCTGCTGCATTCTGGACCAGTTGTATGATGATTTATATGTGAACCTTTAGCTATTTCTGTGCACTTCCTGTGAGACTGATAACCCCCGAGGGTCCTGAAGGGTAATTCTGATTTATTATAACTTGGATTTTTTAGTCACATTGTCTGCAATCATTCCTAATGATGATCATAATAAACAGACTCTGCAGGGCTGAAAACATAATGAAATACAATCACAACAAACATTCAGACAATCAGACGGATCAGAAAAAAGCTCCGGCACATGAAAAGAGACGATGACAATAACCGGTAAAATTATTACACAAATGTCTGGATTTCAGCTAAACTCATTTCTACTTTTTCCCACAATTTTATTAAAAGAAATGCCAGATGGAAATTCAAACCAGCACATGTTTAACAGGTGATAATGAGACCGAATTTATGTGATTAAAGGGTGAAATTAAAACCAAGAGCAGAAAATAATGTGAGAAATGTTCTCCGCAGTGGAGTGTAAAAGCTAATGTGACATAATAATTACTGTGCTAAATCTTTTTTCTTTGCTCCTGTAAAACATTTGTGTGAAGGTGGAAAATATTTTAATATTCTTATACATGTTCTATGCACACTTTGATAACTGGACACAAGTTTGCAGTTTTTATTTTCTTATAAGACAACAATCTGAACGGATGCACTTCACACCAACAGTTAATGGTTGGCTCAGATGTTCATATGTTTGTCTGGAATTAGCTGTGACACGTTCTGTGGTTCTGGTGATTAAAAACAGCAGACGAGGTAAATATGGTAAGCTGAGAAGGTCAAACATTGCCCTGTGTGGAAAGCTGAATGTGTATATCGATCACATGCTTTCAAGCACATCTGGTATCTAAAAACAGCTTTAAAATAAGTTCCCAAGTCTTAAATTCGCTCCACCCTTGTATGAAAAGCACATTAACATTCAGCTAGCTTAGGGTTTAATATTATTCAGTTCTTTGTTATATTTCACTCAGGCAGTGGCTGGTGTAAAATGTGCTGATCTGTGGGAGGTTAGTCCTGATGTCCTGATGCATGCTCAATAATCCAGGTAGAAAAATCTAACAAGGTTAAGTCAGGTCCTCTAGATGTCCGGAGGACCTGACTTAACCTTGTTAGGTTAGTGCTGATGGTCTTACTGTCTTCGCTACTCTCTGGAGTGCCTGTCGCTCAGCCTTGGTGCAGCTGAAGAACCGCACCAGAAGACCAAACATTAGTGCACGACTGATGGCTCAGTTATAAAGGGTCGCTATAAGCTGCTGAGGAAGTTTTACACTCTGTAGTTTCCTCAGGTAGTACAGGCGCTGCTGGGCCTTTCCTATTACAAAGGAAGTGCTGATGTTCCAGGACAGAACCTCAGTCACAAGACCAAAAGCTTGAAACTGCTAACCCTTTCCACCACTTCACCAACAATGTTTAATGGAGCTAAACGGACTTGCCTTGATTTCCTGAAATATGTATTCATGAGGTGTCCAAGCCAGCAATGGCAAGGAAATGTGATTTTTTTTGTGTGTGTGTGGGGGGGGGGGGGGGGGGGGTGTTAATGTTCAGTGCAAGGTTGTGATCTACACACCATGGTATCAGATGTTTTACTGCCTTACTATACACAACCTCAGCGCTGTATGTCATAAGACCAATTAGTGGTGTCAGCAGCAAACTTAATGATAGCATTAGACATGAAGAAGGCTGAGCAGTCATGGGTGTATATTGAGTGCAACAGTGGGCTAAGCACATATCCCTGTGGAGTCCCAATGTTAATAGTTGTAGAGGAGGATCAGAGCATACCAACTCTGGCACACTGAGCAATTTAACAGGAAGTCCTGTTGCAAAGAGTGGCATTTAATCCTAGAGAGACCCATTTTGACATTAGTTTTCTTGTCTTAATTGTATTAGCTGAACTGAAATCTACAAAAGAATCCTTACACGTGTGTTTTTATGCTCTAGATCAAGGGTACCCAAACTTTTTCCCTGAGAGGGCCATATTTAAAATCTATCAGAGGGCTGCAGGCCAAATGCAAACATACAATTTATGAAATACAAATACATCCTTAAGTAAAGTCCATTTATCTATTATACAGTTATTTAACCTTCCATTCTGAATAAAGAACATTACAGAACACAAAATATAACAAATAAGTCATATATAAAAAATTAAAACAAATCTTGAAATTTTGGCATTTCATTATGTATATGTACTGTACTGTATATGTAGTACAAAATGTAAAAAAAGGCATGTCCTACAGCAACACAACTTAACAGCAACAATAATATGAACATAAATAAATAGTCCCATATGTACGGTAGTCATTGGGCCAACTTTTCCATCTAACATTAAAGTCAATGGGTGGAATGACTGAGTGAAAACACATTGATTCTTCAAAGGAAATTTTAATATACAATAGTAACGAGGACAGCTTGGCGGGCCAACTTTGGCCCGCGGGCCCCACGTTGGGCACCTCTGCTCTAGAAGAATTGTTGATTTAAAAAATGAGGGGAATAAAAGGAAATCAGATCTGTACCAAACCTTGACTCAGAGGCATTGTCTTCTCTATTGTGTTTTTAAAATTAGCCTAAACTATAGAAATGAGCTTTTTGGTGAAAAATTCTGAGTGAATCATTGTTGAAGAATGACTTGTTAAATTAATTGGTTAAGTTAAAACGGGCCGAGCAGCATCTAAAACCAGCAACACCACAGCTAAAAGATGCAACTAGCTCAACAGTAGCTAAAAGGAGCATTGAAGACAAACAAAGCAGCTGAAGCTCATTTCAAACAAAACAATATTTTTTAAGGAGCCAAATAAATTTGTAAAGTTAAATAATTCAAGAACTATACAAAGTACAATGCTTAAATTTATATCAACTATTGACCCAAACATTTTAATGTATAAATTACAAAATTAACGTATGATTATTGTTTTCACTTGCTTTTATTTTTTCATGTAATAACTGAGCCACTTTTTCTCTGTTTTATTCGTGCTAAGTTTCTGTTCCTTTTAGGGCTGTGGACCAGCTTCTGCTGTTGTTTTTATTTAGTTTTATATTCTCTGTTTGTGTCAGCAGTTTGTGTTGAAAGTTGTGGCTCTGCATCTTCTGCTCCACAGACCGACGTGGAGGACGGCAGGAACCCCACCATCAAGAAAAGCCTTTTTCCTCTTTTTAGCTCTAAGAACAGCTTAAAGCACAACTCTGCTGTCAAAGTCCTGCCGGTAGTGGCCTCCCCTCTGGTCCAGCACCAGCCCGCTGCTCCCTACCCTGCCTCACCAGTAATTCAACTCTCCAGCTGCATGGCGAGCTGCTTCAGCATCCTCTCAGATCCGCTTTGCTTGCGTGGATTTCAGCTGTTTCACGAGCTGAAACTGCAGCGTCTTGTGCTTCCATTTGTCGTGCTGAATGCAGACTCAGTCGCCTCACGTTGCATCGCAAGGCTCTGATTTCATGCTACACTGTGTCCCGTTTGTGACGCCTACATGTCCACATCAGACGGACGGCCATTAAAAATAACGCTCAGATAGAAACTTCAGCTTTTGATTAATCCTAACTGGAAAAAAAAAAGTTAAACACTTGTTCTGATCCAAGATGAAGAAGGTGTAGGTTTTAATTTTTGTCAGAATTGATGCAGGAACCAAGTTCACCTCTAATTAAATCTACTTACTAACATTTCTACAGCTTGATACTCGTGACAAACTGCTGAAAGATGAATTATTTGAACCAAAATATGAGTAAAAATGGCTCTAAGTGTTAGATAAACATGAATAACTTTCTGTTTCTTTGGATTTAAGGAAGGCGTAAAGTTAAAACGAAACCAGAGTAAATTAAAAAGTAGGATTTCTGAAGGAATGCATAACACCCACCATTTCACATGCCAAAGATTTAAACTAAAATCTGCCTGTTAGCCCTCAGAGCATGTGTTGCTGATGACTCTCAGCTACTACCAGGCCCAGTTTGAGCTCAAAAACTGTAACAATGGGCCTTTTTCGAGTTGGTTAAAGTGAATTAACCATTTTTAATTGGGGTTCACGAGTTTGGAGATATTTTCTGAGAGCTTCATTAAATTCTGTCCAGTGGTTCATGAGATATTTTGCTAACAGGCAGACAAACACACAGATACCGACCTCTCATTATGTCAGGCTCCTCAGAAATGAGCTCCGAAAGAAACTTCACCCAGACAAAAGTTTCTGTCCACAAAATATCAAATAAAGCCTAAATGACGACTAACGGTCAAATCATACTGACTTTAAAAAAGGCTTAAAGACTTTTCTTTTTAAGCAAGCCTTTTCTGCCTCCACATGATTGTATCATTGATTTTAGTTGATTTTATCATTGATTTTAGTTGATTTTATCATTGATTTTAGTTGATTTTATCACTGATTTTAGTTGCACTCTGTAGCACTTTGAGATTTTTGTTAATGAAAAGTGCGTTACAAATTAAATTAATTATTATTATTATTAAATCAGTGTTTATTTTGATGCATTCCTTTGATCCGCAGTAAATCTGATTTGTTCTCGTTTTAATTTATTTTAGATTGAACTTTTTTTGGTTTGTTTCTCTAAGAATATTAACACATGAAATGATACAGAAACCTAAACAAGCCGAATGTTTTGACTGATGAGTAGCTAAAAGAAGGCGAAGGCCGACTCAGTGTTCCTGCCGTTATTCGTTGGGATGATTTAGTTTTTATATTGTTTGTTTAAAATGTTTCATGCAGAAATCCATTCCTAATAATGAATAATTATTAATCATCATCATCGCTGACGTGTTCTGCAGCAGGTCTGCATGTTTGAGACAAGAACAAATAAAATACTTTTTTTTTTTTATTGTTCAAAGAATGAAGAATTAGATTGTTTAAAATAATGTTTCTGTGTTGATCAGGTTACCGGAAATGGACAGGAACACCTGTCCCTCCAGAGGAGCTCCAAGGTGTCCTCTCACCACAGCAGCCGACGGAAAAACCGCGAGCGATCCAGAGACAGGGACCGAGACCGGGACCAGAGCAGGGACAGGGAGAGAGAGAACAAAAGAGAGAGGGAGAGGGGGAGGGACAGAGACAGAGTCTCTGATTGGCCCCCGGACAAACAGGTGGACTCTCACTCCCAGGTACCTACTTACGTTTAAAAGTCAAGCCTTCAGTGTTTGTTTGTTTGTTTGTGTCATGACATAAACAATAAACATGTCTCCTGGCTGTAATCTTCCCTCCTCCAGAGCCAACCTCTGAAGTCCCTCCGCCGGCTCCTCCACCTGTCCCCGTCCTCCTCCAACCAGGGACAGCCTCCTCCTCCAGACCTGCGCTTCCAAGCCCCCCTCCCCAACCCGCCCCAGCCTTCCAAACCGGGTTACCCCGAGAGCCGGGGCCACACAGAGAGCCGGGGCCACTCGGGGGTCAGCAGCTCAGGCCAGCCCAAGAACCGCAAGGCCAGCTACCCCTTACCGGGACAGATCGAGTCCAGCTGGCACGTGTCGGCTTTACAGCGGGTGGAGGGGGCTCAGTTCACCCCCGAACAGCTGGGCATCAAACCGGGTCAGAACGGACCAACCTTTACCCGGGCCTCCCGCTCCAGGATGCCAAATCTCAACGACCTGAAGGAGACGGCTCTGTAACCGGTCCTGAACGGCTCCATCCTGCAAGGCCCTGGAATAAAACTTCACCAAGGACCAGTGTGACCAGGTCACACTGGTCCACACAGAGACCTGGACCTTCTCAGGACTCTGGTCCTGCATCAGGAGACTCTGCCTCTCTGCTGCCCCCACCTGCTCAAACTGCGCTACTGCAACGACGGTGGCCTCCAAACTCCAAGGGGGTTTCAAACTCTATTTGATAACAAAACAAAAGATTTATATCATTATTTATTAAATATTTATGTTTTAAATTCAAGGATATAAGCTATAAATGACAGCATGTAGGGAATATTGTAGGATAATTTTGGATTAAACGTGTAATTGCAAGAGCTTTAGTTTCGACACAGAGATAATAGATATTTATGTGTTAATATAATATGTCGAGAAGAGTATTTAATAACGATGAATGTTCCTTTTTTGGTTCTATATGATGTTTTAACATAGTTTTCTTTACGTTTTGTTATTTTGACATCCCATTGGTTTTATCTGACTAGAAGAAATCTTGACGGCGTCGCGGTGGTAGAAGTCTCTCCATCTTCTTCACCACGTTGGTTCTGGGACTGATCTGGGCTTCACATCCACTTGTTGTCAGAACACTTTACGCCACATTTCTGGTGTCACTTTTTTCAATTTTAACCCTTTTATCAGTTTTTTTGTCTGTGATAACAGCTCCACGCTGCCATTTTTGAGTTTTTCTGGAAGCATCCGGAGCGAGTCGGACCTCTGAGAGGATGTTCATCGTTGAAGGTGTGCCTCAGTTCCACAGCGTCAAAGGATGAGTCTGGCTTTATTTCTTCTTGTTCATAAATTTGGACATGATGGTCTCAGAAAAAATATTTTTTATCCTCTGAGTGTTTCCGAACCGTTCTCGTTATTCAGATCTGTCAGATCTGTTTTTGCTCCGCACATTTTTCAGCTCGTAGCTCATTCCTCAGTTTTTGTTCTACTTCATGTCTCAAAACGTTCGACTCTTTCAAGAAATTCCTGCTGGGACTTTTTGATTTTGTGCAGTTTTTACTTTTTTGAACATTTAACTTTGTCAGCCATGTTTTTCTCATAGAAAAAGAGTGGAGTTTTCTTCATGTCTTTCAAACCCTTTAGCTGTTTACAACTTTTACTGCTCATTTCAGCTGTTTTCGCCCTCTTTGTGCTAGTTTCAGCTTCCTTCAGCTCTGCTTTTTTCAGCTAAATTCAGCATCTTTCTGCTTTTTAGCCTATGTTTTAGATGTTTTTCTGCTAATTTGGGGTTTTTTCTGTATTTTTTTTCCATTTCGGCTTTTTATAGTCCTTTCAGCCGCTTTCTGCTAATTTCAGCTTCTTGTTTTTTAAATTCCTATTAGTTATTTTTATTTTTTTTGTGGCTAATTTCAGTTTTTTTTTTTATCTATTCAGCCTCTCTTCCTGTTTCAGCTTATTCTGCTCCTTCCTGCTACATTTCTGCTCATTTCAGCTGTTTTTCTGCTGCTTTCTGCTTTTATTTCCCTGCTTTCAGCACATGTCAGCTGTTCAAATTCAGCTCACAGTTCAGCAATGAAACCTTTTCAGTAGCTTCATTCAGCATTAAGCGTCCGCGCTGCGTCTTCACAGGAAGTGAAATTTCTCTGCTTCGATTGTTCTCATCGACTTCCTGAAAACAGATTTAAAGCTGAAGAAGTTTGGAACTTTTCAAACTCTTAGAAGCTAAAATGCGTGCATCGTGTTTAAAGTTTTAACTCGTTGACTCTTATTTATTTATGTTTTTGTCTTTAAGTCTTCTCACCTCTGCAGATAAAAAAAGTGAACTTCCTGAAGGAATGCTTGTCGCCCGCCACATTTTATTCCTTAGTTTTAAGCTAAAACCATCTGATGTTGGACGGCAGGATCTGTCAGCTCTCAGAGTACATGTTGAGGACGACTCTCAGTTACTACCACACCACTGCTTAGCTCAGCATCCACATGCTGTGGCGGCCATCTTGAATCTGGCTGACTCCAAAAGTCAAGCAGACGTTATTTTTTTCCTGAATTTATTAAAATTCATCACTTCCTTCTGAGGTATTTTAGTAAGAGACAGGCAGTTACATGATTGCTCGCCTTTCAAGCTGCCATGCTAATAAAAGTCAAAGCATTAAGTGTTCCTCCTCTGGTTCTGACGATACAAACCAAGAAGACCAGACTTTTATTTTGTAACGTTTGTTTACATTCTAGCGTCTGTGCCATCATGTCGGTTTTTTTTGTAAATATCATTTTCTAAATGAGATTTTTGTTTTTACTCATTTTCAGCAGTCACGATCAGGGACGACTATTTCTTTAAGCATTTACTTGTCATGTGGGTGATCTAAAAGTTTAACACTATTTGTGGCCTCGGCTAGAAATAGAATTTGGCCTGATTTAAAAAAAAAAAAAGATTTTTTTAAAAGATTTGACTGAAAGCAATAACAAGACTCAAAGGGACAAAAAGCACAGAGGATTTCCTGCAAAAAATAAAAAAAAACAACTGAAAAGCATAAGAAGAGCGTGTCCATAACATCTGATTTGTCCCTGATTATGACTCAGAACACGCGTGTTCATAAAAACACCGACTGCCACGTCTGATGCTCGGATCCTTCATGATGACGACGCTTGCCTTGTTAGAGACCCGAAGCCTTACGCTCAGCTGGACACGAAACAGAGGCTTCAACACACACACACACACACACACACACACACTGCGAAACAAGACGACAACTTGTTGTTGAATGTGATTCCAGACTCAAACATTGTTTCTTTTCTCATTGAGCGGCCCCCCCTCCTGCCGGGGTGTAAATAGGAACAGCAGAGTGTGTCTGCACTGACCACAGTTTAAATGTGACCAGGTCTCATAATAAACGCCACCTGGACACTTTTGAATGTCTCGTATGATTTGTTGTATGGAAACGACATGAAAACACAAAGAAAACAATGCAACCCACAAATAGATTTAATCAAAGGAACAGTTCAAAGATACAATATGAGCACAGCACCCAAAGCATCATGGGAAAATGAACAGGAAACAAAGATCAGGAACTAAAACACAAAAACAGAATCAGTAGCATGATCCAACCCAGTACTAACACCCAATGTGCACCAGCTATGTACTTGTAATGTACCCAGTAAGTACCGGTCTGTATTGCAGCTGCTACTTGTGGGTACCTGGTACGACCCGTGTGGGCCGGACGCAGACTCTAACATTTTCTTTATTAAATAATGATTCAGAGGAATCCGAGCCTGGTAAAAACCAGCTCAGGTTTATGGACCTTTTCACAGTCACTAATGCTCAAAGTCAGTATTTTGCAATGCATTGTGGTCTAGATAGATTCATGCCTACTTCTGGTTCTTTAGCATTTGATCAAAGTTTATTATGATGGATTATTGAGCATGCATCAGGATATTTATTTGTACTCATTACGATCACGGACTCTTTAACAGATAAAAAATGATTAGAAATTATCCTCCAGTTTCATCTTTGTGTATCAACAGTAGCGTGGATGGATCCACTCAGTCTAAACCAGCGGTGTCCAATGTGCGGCCCGAGGGCCATTTGCGGCCCTTGAAGTGATTTTGTGAGGTCATTGAATGCAACTTAAGAATGGTGTAATTTTAGCTTGCAGGCTTAAAGAAGTTGATGCAGATGTAAACCTGCAAATTTTATGGCGATACTTTTTAAATATATTTTTTAGGTTTAACGGCAAAACAGATGACTTTTTATTTCCTCAAAATAAGCTCAAACATTTGGCTACAATTAAAAAAAATTTTAATTTCATGCTACAAATCCTAGGTAATCATTCACAAAACTTAGCTAAATGTGTTTTTTTTTTTTAAACTGCAGTTGATTTATTAATCGATGGAGGATAAATGGACATTTCTAAAAGAATATAAAGTGGCATCATCAGCATACAAGTTGATTAGTGTCCCTTAAATCTTTTATGAATCTGATGTGACTGACAGATTCGGACGATTTTTCAGAACGTTGATCAACCTTTTGAGCCGTCTATGATCCAAATGGGTGATCAACCCCATTTTAAAAGAACAGTTACTCAAATCACTGTTTAGCTTCAGAGAATAAACAAAAATGAACTTTCCAAGCACAAGAAAACAACAAACAGTAAACCCAACAAATAAAATAAATTGAATCCTTTTTTAAAGAATATTAGGGTGATGTTCACGAGGCTTCTGATGTTTTGGATCTACAACAATTTAGAACTTTTTCTCCAACAAAATTAACAAACTATTGTCTTTTCTCCAAAATATTGTTCATGTTGTTGAGTTTTGTTTTTAATCACGAAAAATGACTTTTTTAAAATCTTTATTTCCATTTTTGTTTTTCATCTACTCAGTTTTGGCCCAGCAGTTTGGACACCCCTGGAGTAAACAAAGTTCATATCTTCAGGTTTCAGCTGCTCTGCTGTCGTCCAGACACCAGCAACACTTCAGGTTGAGCACATTTAGCTAAAATACCAGCAGAACAAACGTTTAAATGCGTATTAAATCTATCCCTAACCTGAAGAAGGGCGGACTCACTTTCTGTGATGAGTTCAGGAACTTCAGGGTGATGTAGGACAAAAGACGAGATGATGATCTGGAACATTTATGGATTATTTTTAGCTCCAGATTATTCCAGCCGAGTCCTCCTGTTCCCTGTAACAAAGGACTGAAAACGTCTTCAAAAGTTGTCTGTTTTAAATGTGTTTGGAAATTAAATAGAATTAAAGCAAACAAGACATTGGAGAAAAAAGTGGTTTAGATGCATCAATGCGATTTAGCCATTTCTTGTAAAGGGTTAACGAGTGAGTCCAACGTGTTAGATTTAATAAAATATCACAAATGTTTCAGCCTCCATGGCAACGCCTTCCCTTCTAATTATTGCTTTGAGTTTATGCCATCTTGCTCCAAACGGAGCGATCCATTGAGAAAGTGTTCAATTAAAGCGTCAGCGGGAGGCCGCTTCAGCTCAGACAATGCAGCGAGGGCTGAATGAAAGTACACATCAAACAGATCACGTTCAATAGGAGCATGTCACTTGTTCAGGAAAGAGTTTGGGGTCGAGTATTTTAGGATCACGAGGATAAAATCAAACATCCGACACGTTCAGGGGAGCAGGCTGTGAGGAGGGGAGGGTCTGGAGGGAGATCAGGAGCATTTCTTCATGCAGATCAGCAGCTCCAGGCGCAGGGCGATGCGGGTGTGCCAGCCCAGAGGGAGGATGCGGATGTAACGGGCCACGATGGGCGGCCGCAGGAGGTTCTGGACCGAAGACGAGCGGTCAGAATTTCCATAAAACACCTGAGGAGGAACAGGAAAGAGATGTCAGGGTGACGGACTCACAACATGCTGACTTTTTCAACTACTGGTAAAATTCAGCCCTATAGGAGCTCTGCAGCTCAGACTTATGTCCTCTGTCCTCACTCTGTCCTCACTCCGTCTTCACTCTGTCCTCTGTCTTCATAACTGACCGTAACTAATCCTAGCCTATACTACAAACAGATAGTAGCCTTTAAACTGTAACGTTTTCCTTTGACCTTTGCTGCCACTCTTTAGTCACAAATCTCTCCTCCATCCACTCCATCCTGCCTGGACTCTCTTCTTCACCTCTTTATCACACTCCCCATTTTCCTGGACAGTGGACCCCAAGTACTTGAAGTCCTGCACCTTTGTGACCTCTGCTCCTTGTAGCCTCTCTGTTCTACCGACCTCCCTCTCATTCATGTACTCTGTCTTACTGCGGCTGACTTTCATTCCTCTTCTTTCAAGTGCATACCTCCACCTCTCCAAGTTCTCTTCCACCTGTTCCCTGTTCTCATCACAGATCATAATGTCACCTGCAAACATCATAGTCCACGGGGATTCCTGCCTGACCTCATCTGTTAGTCGGTCCATCACCAGAGCAAACAAGAAGGGGCTCAGAGCCGATCCTTGATGCACTCCCACCTCCACCTTGAAGCTATCAGTCACTCCTACAGCACATCTCATCACATGTCATCATACATGTCCTGTACCAGTCTTAACATGTCTTGCTGTCCTCATACATGTCCTGTACCAGTCTTAACATGTCTCGCTGTCGTCATACATGTCCTGTACCAGTCTTAACATGTCCCGCTGTCCTCATAC